TTCTTCAGGATAGACGCCGGCTTAGGCGAGGAGGCTACTACACAACCTCTTCTAGATGATGCCCCTGACGTAACGGTTGAGCCCGAAAGGGAACCCGTTGCTGGACCATCGAATCCTGAGCCCTCACCGGAGCCCTATTCCGCCTTTGTTGAACGGCAGGACCGTTTAATACTAGACGAGAAAGGAGAAATCATAGGGCACCGGGCGTCGTCGCCAACATCCAAAGGCTGGAGAGCTGGGGCTTGGTGAATGGTCGTAACTGGCCGCCGCCTTCTCTGGACTCGGCCTCTCTACGCCAAACCTTTGGTGTTTCTTGTAAGTTGCATTACTGGAGTGTGATCCCATCGACCTTACTGATGGTGAGCTGCCAGTTCTAGCGCGACAGGGCCTGTTCACGTCCGTCCTCAACACGTCGACTTCGTCGACGGTCTACTATTAAAGGTAGTTTGGTTGGAACTTACAGTTATACGTTGTCATGTTCTCGGGCCATAGTTGCTCGTCTCGGAAGTGTCGGTGGTATTGTGTGCCTCGGGCCAACAGCTTTCCTTCTGGATGCCTGTTGGAGGAATCCCTTAGGGCAATGGGTTGACACCCCTGGGTTACCGTCCCAGGTGCGTGGCTAGACTCCTGGGTTGTACCGCCAACTAGTTGGTTACGCCGAGGTCCTTGGCCTGGCCGCTGACACTTTCTGATGCGGGATACGTTCCCCGGTCTTGACGTAATTCGTATAGGCAATGACATTATCCGCTCCGTGGTAGCGATTCTTAAAGAACAACAATCTTGTAGGTACTTCGGTCTGCACTTGGTCGCGCAGACGGTATTAACCTTAGGCGTTATGAGACAGGTCTCCTAACCGGTAAGCTAACCCTAACGTAAGTACCCCTCTTGACCAAAAGAGGAATCAACGTCAACTAAGGAACATTGATACTTAGCCTAACCCTAACCGGCTAACCCTAACAGCTAACCCCTAACCATGGGGTTCCGAACCCTAGCCTAACCCTAAGGCTAGGGTTCCCACGATAAGGTACGTGGGTCAGTTTGCTTACGTAAGCTGATGGTGGCTGTCCGTAGAAGTCTTCGGCTTCCTCGGGCCGGTCGGCCCGGTCGGCATCTCCGCAGTGGGAATGTCTTGGCAGCGGCACGGCGGCATCTCGGCCGGCTCGTCCTTTCTTAGTACGCCGAGCTT